CAAAAATTGCGCTCCGTTTTTAAATTTTTTGCAAGAAAAACCGCTATGAATTTTTTGGACACTAGTTTTATAATCACGAAGTGGAATCACATGCCGGTTTTGGCAGCACCTTATGAAAGAATATAATGTGAAGTAATTCTTCGTAATTTTGTTGAGCAAACGCGAGGTGTTATTATTCTTCATTCACGAATAAGCTGACGTTTCGGCGGATTTCGCCTTCCTCAGAGCCGCTTTCTATGAGGTTTCCACTAAGTATGTCACGTAGAGACCAACCGCCTTAGCATAACGTGACAACGTGCACGTTATGCCTGCCTTTTTCTTTTTTGATCGAACAATTCTTTTGCTTTCTTGCATTAAATAGTAATTCTGTTTTTTAACACGCAACATGTGAAAGACAGAAACAACATGAGAAGAACTGAAAGTAGATCTTTAATCTGATTTGAGTCTTCAATCTCCTTCTGATTTTGTCCGAATCGAAAATCGATCGGTTCTCTTACTCGATTGGAGAGCAAGTTAGACTTCGAGAGACGAAATTTTTAAGACGGCATAAATACCCTTCTCCAGACAGTATTGATAGATTCAATTATTGTTCGGCACGGAATCAGGCGAAAGTTGCCGTCGACGATTTTGGGGAAGAAGTTGCTGATGATTTTTTATATCGTAGTTCTTGATGCTGCATATTTTTCGTTAAACAGTGGTCTCCTGAAGCTTTAATTTTTCATATATCAAGTATCCTGAGTAAAGAGTAATCTTTATAGCCCTCTAGTAACATGTTTGTGGCTGGCAAAATCATTTTGTAGCGAAGCGAGAATGCGCTAATCTAATAGCAAACAACGGAAACTAGAGTTAATGATGTGTACATCACTAGATCGATCACTTGGAAAGCAACTAGGCCGATCCCATAGAAGAAAAAATGGGCGCATTGTTGAAGCGTTTTTTACTTCAAAAGTAAGTACATGGTTAATTCTGCCACAGCTGCTTCGACGTCTTCATGATGATAAATGCAAGACAAACGTCTTGCCAAAATTACTTAGATTTACCCATGAGGTAGGTCATCCAGTTTGTCATATACGTAAGCACAAACAATAGGAGACCAATTACTACTAAGGAAATCTGTCACTTGATATTGACCAGTAGAGACTGAGAACACCGCTGTCGTTCACCTAAGTCGTTTACTCGCTTCTTCTATTGGTATTAGATATACAGTCACGATTGCCGATGACATGAGTCGTAATTCACGAATCCACTTTTACTAATCCACAGTACAAAATTTGAACGGGCTCGCGAAAATCGTGGACTACGGAGAACACCAAGCTGATGAGCAACCATGCTACAGCAATTTAGTAACTACTTTTACGTCGAGTGATGCAACAGGCTTTAGCCAAACAAAAATGGTTCAAAACATTGTTGCATTCAATTGTTGTTATTCCTAGTAGAAGGTAACAGGAGTACTGGTCAGTGGCAGAGATGGTGAGTTTAGCAATTACGATTTTTAGATAAGGATATGCTGAGTTGCTGCCTTCCTTTGACACTAAGAACGGATGTATGAAGCAGAAAGAAGAGTTTACAACTTACTACTATATTAGGAGAAAAGCACAAAGCCTCTCACCATGATGCCGGGATATCTTTAAAGCTTGGTCCCTGGTCGGATGCAAGCCCGCGACTACTTCTTCCAGGGGTCCCCGTGTTACACATTGGACCTCTGAGTCGTTTGCTTTACCTTTCTCTTATCCAGTTTACTACATAACGATGCCATCAACAATCATTCCAAACAATAATGATCTGGGAAGCACAAATTGGTAGTGAACTCAGTTAATCTGAAGCTACAGTAAAAATCACAATGTTAACGTTTTATTAAGTGCCTATTAATACTTTCCACTGCAAGCTATGATTTGAAATACAATCACATTGATACCATCAGATACTCTACTACGCCAGCTAGTTCGCAACCGCCTATATGACCATCTATGCACAACAAAAAACTGCATAATTTGCCGCCCAATGGTAAAGACGGTGATTGCATGAGTTCGGGCACAGTCTATCTGATCTCTTGTAAAGCGTGAGGGGACAAATACGTTGGCGAAACGGGTAGGCCGCTCTGCGTCCGCATAGAAGAACACCTAGTCGTTAAATCTAAATTAAAACCAAAACACTCCACTAGGCGCGCATAGGATGCAGGAACACAACGGAGAAGATTTTGAAGTAGGAGTCACTATCCTCACGTACGAACCGAAAACATCAGCGCGTGAAACTCTTGAAGCGTTTTGGATCAATTCCAAAAATTCAAAAACGAACCGTAAGGAGGAGTGTCATGTCATCACGCGTGGCCTAGCGCCATAGCTCAGGCTAATCCAATGGCCTGACACACCCACACTTATCGTCCATGTATTACTCTGTGCGGCTGCTATCCATCAACCGACTTAAATACTTACAACAAATAAACGGTTAGTGTTTAAATAAAGCTGTTTCTTATGCGAATTCAAATTTATTTGTTAAGTTTTATCCGCTGGGGTTATGAAAGTGTTTGGTTGGGAAGATCGCATCTCAATTTGACCTTTACAGGCTCTGAAGAAGGCGCAACCGCCGAAACGTCAATTATTGTATCCTAATAAATCCTATAATAACAACCTCGTGTCTGCTTATTGAGGAAAAACATCGAATCACATTGATGTTGAGATGTTTGCAAAACTACTTTGTCAATCTGGCCTAAGGTCCAAGTTTTGCAAACAGTAACAGTTGATTGTATTTCATAACATACCTTGCCGTGAAAAATAATAGTAGCCATTAGATAAGACGTTAACCTACCAACATCGTTCCTGAGCTGTCGCCTTGGCATTACACCTCTGAAGACGCTCTTTCATATTTTAAACGCGGCCTGCTTCATATATCTAGTTGTTTTTCTCTTAGTCTTTTGAGCTTGGTGTTCAAAATGACCATTACACATGCCTTGTTTAAGTTTCTTCTCAAAAATGCTTGTCGAAAGTTCATCTCTAATGAACCCTGTAGATAAACTGAAAAATTCCTTGTGGCAACTCAGTTTGAGGTTTTCATGCAGTATGGTCGTAAAAACGTTTATTTGTCCAGCGTATTTGAATAATAGGAAAAGGTCATGATTTATTTGAAAAAGGCTGGGAGAGGCTTTCAAACTGCTTTCTCTCCGGCGATAGCATCGTGCACTGGAGAAGGCATCCCTTGCACGACGGAGTTAGGATCTATATGATAGCAATTTCGTACAAATAAAAACAACCCATTTTTCCTAATTTCACGTATACTCTTTCAGTACCCGGCTCCTTGGAGAATAACTGACCTGCTAAACTCTTTATTAACATGAACCAGTTCCGAGCTGCTTTTGTAATTACTGACTGTTCTTGCTTTTCAATAAGGTTATGACAGCTCTATCAATCTCACCATTACAGAAGCAATCGTTTGTTTTCGTACAACCTATCCGCATTTGCCCTCCCATTTAGCACTACCGTAAAAACTACATAAAAGTTGGATAGCCCGTTTCAAATTAACATTTGCTACCACAATATACAACTAGGTAGCATTCCCACTGTTTCGTTGTTACATTATTTTAACAAGTCATAATGACCGCCACAAAAAAAACAGGTATAGATGAAATGACGAAACCATTATGGACGGAACCCGTCAAACTTCGCTTATTGAATCAGATCCTGATTTTTGTAGTAATGCTCAGCTATTTGTATGGGTACGAGTTCAGCTATCGGGAATATGACGCCTTCTCTCCTCAGGTGAACTGTAGTCTTCACTGGAAACTCGGGATAACTGTACTAGGAGCTGAAGCCCTCATCAAAGGTGGGTCACGGGTCCTTGCGAACTGGATGGACGCTTGATGTATTGCGAGTACGATTCTCTTGAGGCGGAGCAATTCGCACTACGAGTGAAGGAGCTAGTCAAGTAAAGTCGAGTCCAATTAATTACTTTCAGTCGTTTTCTTTTAAGAATTTCCGTTACAACAAACGCCAAGAAAACTTAGAACTTTATTAGTTCGAACACCTAAACAGGGAAATAAAGACAGCCAACTCGATATGCATAGAGACAAATTACTTGGTCATTACCAACTCATTTAAAATGATCCACCATCATCTGACATTGACTTCGGAAACATCCGCCACTGTGAAAACAATTTAGAACCAGTGAACCGAAACTGATAGTGAAATCTAGTTTATCACCATTTGCGAAATCTTCAAGGAGCGCTACGTCAAGAATGAAAAGTTTCTAGAATCAAGAGCAACAGAACGAATAAAACGTTGAGAACACCTCGCAGTGAGAGTACAACGAAAATGGCTTCACACACGGTCCTACGAGTATTCGACTTCTTAAGCTAATACATGTAATTGCTATGTTTTTCGATCAGATTCTTGTTGTTCAGATAGGCTATTCGAGAGATCAATGGTGGCATCTGAAAAAAACGGCCTATGTTTAAAAAAACTGTTGTTCAAATTTCCCTCGGAAAAAATAGGAACATTCAGTGTTAAAGAAATAGCATAGAATAAAAGACAGGATTCTAAGTGTGAGAACACATACAGGAGGTTCATAAGGAAGAGCTTAGATTTTCGGAATGCAAGATCGAGTATTTTACTCTGAGCAATACGACGTTTTGAAATGTGCAAAACCATACTTGACACGCCGTACTGACTCCTTCATATGAATTTTGTTTCAGATCACTTTTAAAAACTTCATTGGCTATATCATAAACGTGGGGACATCTTAACAAGAGTCTCCCAAAATTCCAGGATCAACTGATTCGACCAGCGTTCAACAACAATCAGAAAGAAGGCGACAAAATGCTCAAGTAGAAGTAGAACTAAAGCGCAAAATCTGAAGGTCTTTTCGTTAGAAGTAGTGGGCTTTGCGTAATTTGTGTGACGTCAGGTTGTAAAACAATATTGCGCATTATGAATGTTTCATCGATTTAGTCTTAACCCTTCAGCTTAACCTTTTTTCAGGAAGCATTCGGGAGGCTGGCGATGAAATATTTAATAGGTCACCCTGGATATGTTGGTGGTTGACGTTTCAGAATCGAAATCCTTGCCAGCAGGATTGCGTTTTGTAAGAGTTAAATCTGACGCCGCTTCAATTGCTTTTCCAGTAGGTTTTGTTTCAATGCTCTGAAAAAAACAAAAAAATTCATGAGCAACATTTGGACTGCGAATTTCAGAGACCACTCAAAAATTACATTTGTTTTGTCAGAATTAACTACCGGGTTGGTCGACGTTGACGGCGTGCCTACTTGTTGAGGAGATTTTCTCCAACGTCGAATTCCCGTAACTCTGTCGACACCAGGCATATCCAATATATACTGTAATGAAGTTATTACATTGAAACAAAGAACACTGAGGAATAAGATCAATTAACCTCTGGTCAACCCACTACATAGTATAGAGCTGTATAGCTTTCAAGAAATTCGTTCTCTTAGTGTTCTACTACAATTACTTTCCCTGTACACTATTTCAATCTTTTCCTCAGTATCGAAATTGTGCGTGATCACTAGCACAGTCAGTTTGATATTGGTGGAAGTGGAGATGTGGGCTTGGAAAGAGCGTTTTGTAAGAGTTAAATCTGACGCCGCTTCAATTGCTTTTCCAGTAGGTTTTGTTTCAATGCTCTGAAAAAAACAAAAAAATTCATGAGCAACATTTGGACTGCGAATTTCAGAGACCACTCAAAAATTACATTTGTTTTGTCAGAATTAACTACCGGGTTGGTCGACGTTGACGGCGTGCCTACTTGTTGAGGAGATTTTCTCCAACGTCGAATTCCCGTAACTCTGTCGACACCAGGCATATCCAATATATACTGTAATGAAGTTATTACATTGAAACAAAGAACACTGAGGAATAAGATCAATTAACCTCTGGTCAACCCACTACATAGTATAGAGCTGTATAGCTTTCAAGAAATTCGTTCTCTTAGTGTTCTACTACAATTACTTTCCCTGTACACTATTTCAATCTTTTCCTCAGTATCGAAATTGTGCGTGATCACTAGCACAGTCAGTTTGATATTGGTGGAAGTGGAGATGTGGGCTTGGAAAGAATCATCTTATTAACCACCGCTTAGTAGCTTCTTGAATGTTAAGTTAGTTCAACTGAAATTTTGGCTACACGGCTTCGGAGCCACTCACCGATCTAGACATGGTTACCTCTTCAGGGCCGACGCGTTTCTTTCCGGAGGAATCGATTGTCGTCTGTTGTACGGTATGCTCCGTTTGCTCCTGAAAGCGAATGCTGATACGAAATCAGCAGCAGTTATAGACCAAATTGCAAAATGTCCTTTTTTCTTCACTGTATTGCACACAACACACCCTGATAATAGATGTCCCAACGGGTAGGCCCTTCAACTGAAAAAAAGTTCCAAAATGGCTTATAATCTTTGAAGCAAACAATTTCTGCAGTCCATAGGAGTACTTACAAAAAATTTAGCACTATTGTCGGTTTTCTGACGTGTGTCTTTGGACGCTCTTGCTTGCACATCTTCTTCGTCTACGCCATTATGTCTATGAAGCTGAAGTAATGAAGATTTTGAAGAAGAAATAATATATTCATCCTGGTCCTTTCAAGCGCATTATGCTCATCCTGTTTAATCATACAGAAGTACGTCAACCAGCCAACCATAAATGTTTTAAGAGTAACAACATTGGAACTATTCTCCGCAAATTATACTCTGACGAGCCTGAGAGTCGTTGTCAAAGTGTGTAGCATATCGGCATGGTCTCAGTCAGGCATTCAGTCTCAAAATCGTCGGTTGTACGTACTTATTCTGCACGTAAGCTCCCCAGAGTATAGTCACATGATACGGATAGTTCGTTTTAAGAAGGTCATTAGTAATAGTAACTGGCTTTTCCTACAAAAAGGTCACGATGATATTAAAGGATAAAGGATAAAATTCTCGGCTTTGATCAATCCCTGAGGGATGAGCCATGCATTCGACTTCATTAAGCATTGTTTGGCAATGATTGAATACATATCTGGCCTTTACAATAACTCGCGGAAGCCTACCGATGTATCGAGTCAGGCTGCTATCCTCCCAGACAAATCTGGTATCAATTTGCCGACCCCGGAGGGATAGGCGAATTGGTGGGCCATGGGTGCGGAGATCGATTCCACCTGTGTGTTGCAGGGCACCTCCGACCACCGTCGATGACATTACAATGTATAAATCCGTGGAAAATTAGACGTTGTGATTTCATATTTTGTTATGAAGCGGACAAAAGCGCTGAAAATTCATGGCAGGGTCTATTTCTTACTGGTTGACTTGTGATCCATTGTGGTGATCCGGGTATATGGTCGAGGTACCAATCCAGACTTCCATCGTAGAAAATGACCACAGACTAAATCAGAATTTTGCTCGTAACATAGAAGCCTATCTAATAAGCATTTTGGTTAGTGGAAATTTCGAGATGTAAAACAAAACCTGAGCTACGACTGCTTTCAATACCATCGTGAGGTTGTGGTAGAATAGAAGCTAACGGAAACTTACAACTAAAATAAGTATCATGGCAAGATGCAACACCAGTAGAAACGACGACATGTACAGGGCGTGATAATGAGTTGGTATTAGTTTTAGGAAACAGTGTTGTAGCATAATTTCTCTGAAAATGGACAATTTAACCGCAGAATTCATTGCCGATTCTTCTCAACTGTTTATGGATTTTAGCAACTATCATCAATTGCTTCTAATTCGTTTGAACTCAACCCCGTCTCCCTAATTAGATCGCAAGCTTCTATTTAGGAATAATTGACCATCAATTCCTGTGACCGACTTTCTTTCAACCTCGGCATTGATTGATAATTCGATGTTTTTCTTAAACAAGTAGACACGAGGTTGTTATTATAGAATTTATTAGGATACAATGGCTGACGTTTCTGCGGTTTCGTCTTCTTCAGAGCCTGGAAAGTTTAAATTGTTGTAAGTATTTAAGTTAGTTGGTGGATAGCAGCCGCACAGAGTAATACATGGGCGATAACTGTGTCTGTGTCAGGTCATTGGATTAACCTGAGGTATGGCGCTAGGCCACGCGTGATGACAAGACACTCCTCCTTGCTGTTCATTTTTGAATTTTTGGAATTGATCCAAAACGCTTCAAGAGTTCTACGCGCTGATGTTTTCGATTCGTACGTGAGGATAGTGACTCCTACTTCAAAATCTTCTCCGTTGTGTTCCTGCATTCTATGCGCGCCAAGTGGAGTGTTTGGTTTTAATCAAGATATACCGACTAGGTGTTCTTCTATGCGGAAGCAGAGCGGTCTACCGGTTTCGCCAATGTATTCGTCCCCGCACGCTTTACAAGAGATCAGATAGACTGTGCCCGAACTCATGCAATCGCCGTCTTTACCATTGGGGCAAATTATGCAGTTTTTTGTTGTGCATAGACGGTCATATAGGCGGTTTCGAACTAGCTGGCGTCTTAGAGTGTCCGATGGTATTTCTATCACTCTTACGGAATTCTCTAGACCGGCTCTTTTATAGCTGCACTTATTTCGTTTGAAATAAAGGGCAAGAAGAACGGAGTCTTGTTTTCGCTAGAATTACCGCTCTGGGGCGTGGGTTTTCCTCTCTTCCTATGCCGAGAAGCTACAGTTTCGTAAACATTTGGAATGGCTATTTGGCGCGCCAGTTTCGAGGTCTCTTCCCTCTGCTCTGTACCTGTGCACACGTTGGTAGCGGTTCAAAACATATTTCTTATGAGCGCTTTTTTAGTTTCCGAATTCTTCATAGTATCAGAAAAACTTGTATCGCTTTTTTCCCTTGTTTGAAAAAACTTAAACATCCATCATTCCAATGAGGATTTCAAGGAAAGTAAACTACAACGCTACATGAAAGAATTCGTTAAATTCATGTAGCTCGGTCATCTTACAATATGTGAAATAATTTATTTCAAGCATTCCAGAATAGTGGTTGTCTACTAAGTCACGTAAAGTTTGGCTAAGGAAAGAAACCCGAGAAAGTGATGGTCAGGTCAGTACTAGAAGAACCCGTTTAGAATCGGCATCTAGTTGGCACGCATTTTACACTGATGTAGTGACAATCTTCAAAAAGAAGATTAATGAAAGAAAGAAAAAGATGTGACTTTTTAGAAGTTTAAGCATTATTTACTGAAAGCGCGAAACAGTAAAGGATAGGAAGACAGTGAAAACCAAACACCGATCTCTCTTACCCAACAACTACTTGTGAGGAAGATCTGGAACCGCCGCTGCACAGCTACTTCGAGATTCTAAGTAAAACTACTCTAAACTAACATTCAACATGTCAATGAAGAGAACAAAGGACATATCCTTAAGTCGTAGACAAACGCGCATACGAACCCCTTTAATTCCATAGCTGATGGTTCTATGACAATGACAGGGATCGAGGAAGAGCTGATGCCCACATAGATATCGAGTGAGGACAGGCCATCTAAGTACTACTCTAAGTTATAGAATCATACCTGGTTTCACATTTGAAGAAGGTACCTTTCAAACGCACGTCCATGAGTATATGAAACAAGTTGGCACCGACGGCGAACACAAACACACCTGTGCTTGCCGTACGCGTCCCTAAATATTGTTATTTTTGATAGAGATTTGTCATTGCGAAGGATTAAAGCTTACTTATTACTCTCAATGTTGTACTAAGTTTTTACAAAAGGTGTGATGGATCCCAAACGTATTGAGCCTAGTTCAAGAAGAAAAACATCGAAAAGATGCGGATGCTTAACAGTTAGGTACTTTTCAGTTATCTAACAGTTTGCTGTAGTGCCTTAAGATAAAACTCGACTTACAGAGATTCGAGGCCGTGATATTGAGTATTACCATTAAGAAAAGGAACAGCTGTAATAAAATATAGAAATAGAGCATGTCATAAAACGTTGATGCGAAGACAAAAAATTTTCTAGTAGAAAGCAGGAAAAGGGAATTTTTATAGGTATAAACTATTATTGCGATTACCACAACAGCTCTTATTCAATAGAATACCTTAATATGTGGCAGAGCATGCATATCAAGAACCACCCTCCATTTTATTTCGAGGTCACATACCCGTACTCGAGTTCTGGATAAGAGCACAAATCCATCTATAACACTTACTGTAAGGTAAAGATAGACTCAGTGAACGGGCTTCTTGTCTCTGCCATGCCCGGTTGTCTTACATCCTCTGTTCTTTTTTTAGTTTATCATCGTTCACCTGGTCAGTAATGGCCACTAACGGCTGTAAGCCGTTAGTGACTGGATTGCTCGGAATGTTTAGCCTGCTGCAAGAAGACCACCGACCTGGTAGTCGGAGCTCTTCACGAAAAGTTTAGAAGATAGATTCGATGCTCAACGAGTCCCTAGAGCGAGCAGAACGCACTGCGCTACTGTAGCACGAGACTGGGAAATATGGAAGATTTACTGGTGCTCTCTCGAATCACTCGACGATCAACGGGACGACAGGTGATACTGGTAATTACCACTCATATGAGTGCACAGTTGCGCTTGTATGCACTCGAATTGAGTCATCTACGCTATTTAAGTTAAAGGAATATATTAAAGTTTTTGAGGAGCAGTTCTATGTAGCTGCTGTTGGCTTTGATTTCTTAAAAAAAAAAACCGCGAAAGTAACTGACACAGGCAGAGCACAGCGAGCCACCTATATGCGACCATTTGCAAAAACAAAAAAATGAAGTGTCTCTTACGAGGGCTGAGAAGCTCGCTGAACATCTTTGGCGCAAAGTAGGATTGAATAGGAATTAATTAGTGCTTGTTTACTTTGTTCCACTATTATGACATTATAGTTGACGGATGTGTAATACGTTTACATACATATTTACCTCGAATGTCATTTGCACCAAGTAGTAGTTGAGGCTGCCCCTGGTATTGAAGTACTGCTGTGCTAAGATACCCATTATTCCAAGAGCTGCAACACACATCACCTACAAAATACCAGATAAGCTGTAAGATTATGAACAGCCACGACAAGCAGCAATAATCATTCTGAAACTAAGGGAACCTCTAAGGACTTCGAAACAGGCACTTGTTATGCAGTCATTTGTTACAATCGAAAAAAGGAAACCCTCAACTTCGATTCGAATGACTTACTTCTAAATATAATGCCAGTCCTCGCATTGATATGTTTGCATTCTGCCTTTCTACAGCTTTCCGCAACATTGCCCTGCCAAGTTTTATCATCAGTAGTTCATCACTTATAAATCATAGACGGCGATGTGAAAGCGGGCTGCTCTACTCGGCTGAGCGTTCCTATTGAACTGTTCACAGTAGCACCTAACGTTTCAACAGATTCCACTACTACACGTGTTCCACACAAATTACTGGCATATTAATAAGAATCACATTTACCTTTGCATCGATTTAATCCGAAGTCATAAGAAACTGAAGTGAATAACAAGTGCACATCTCATGTTCTTACTAAACAACCCCCTCCCGAGTAATCAGTGCTTATCACACCTCCTCCTTCGTGCCTTTAGCAGTACTAGTCAACTCAAACATGAGCGTTCGTAGGCGTACAGGCTTTTCAGATGCTTAGAAATATAATGCATTTACTCCACCGATGAATGTTACGAATAAAGGCGCATATCTCTAGCTTAAGTATCCAGTATTTTTGCAAAATGTACGCTTTATCAAAAAATGTTTGATAAATAACTTTTGTCTCATTCAACTTACTCAGTCATATCAAATTCTCTTATCATTTGAGCAAAAGTTGCACGTTCGCGTCTCTTCCGATCTATGGCGGCGGTCCGCATCAGCGTTTCGTAGGACACTCGATTGGGACATTCCTTACTCAGCATGGAGCATTCACGTGGTTTCGATTCTGTCTTCTGTGATCTTGATTGACGTCTTTTTGACTTGCTGGAGCGGACCCGTTGACTACTCTTTTCAGAGTCTTTTGAGCGCTTACTTTTTTGGGATGTGCGCGATGTATCATTACTTTTATCTATTGCTCTCTCGGCAGATATAGCGTTTCTCCGCCTGAAATTCATAACAACGATTAATGACCTTTAAAAGTTCCGAAAACTACAAAATTTGTCCTTGTTTTATTTTGAGTAAGCAGATCCATCTAAATAAATGATCTGCAGTTACCGTAGCACTGAATAAAACCACGAGTGGCAAGGTGACGTGCTTTTGGTGACAAATTATAGAATGAAATCGCAATCTGAAAATGGGATCAATATTCCTGGCCGATAAAAGCCAAAAAGCTCTAGGCGCTGATCAATCCTTGAGAGATACGCCATGCATTCGACTTCATTAAGTATCTATCGTCAGAGGTGATTGAATGCATATCTGGGCTTTACAATGACTCGTGGTGGGCTACCAATGTATCGAGCCAGTGCTTCTATCCTCCCAGACAAGTCTTGTATCAATTTGCCGACCCCGCAGAAATGGAAGGCATGGTGGGCCACGAGCGAGGGGAGTCGATTCCACGTGTGTGTCGCAGTGACGCCTCCAACCATCGCGCCACACACGCCCTTTTCTCCTTTCTTTCCTCTCTAATGCTCACAGCATGCTGTCAATCTTGCAGAACTTTTAGGCAGTGTAGTAAAGATGTCATTGGTCCGCCAGCTTCCAGGAGGGCAACAAAAACCCTCTTATAGAACCATTTCAATAATCTACTCGAAACTGAGTGTGTTATACTATCGAAAAATCATCCTCAGTGTACAGTCGGTGAGAGCGGCTCACGACAACCACGGAAATGCCACATCCTTCATGACCTTTTCATTCAAATACGTCAAGAATAAGAAGCCGAATGAAATCAACCTTCCTTCCAGAGCACATTTTTTTTTGCAAAACCGTTGTTTGGAAGAAAGACGAAGCGCTGCTTTGCTAAAGAACGTTCTACTTGATATATTTATTTATGTGATCTTATAAACTGATCTTAAGCTGACGCGAGGTTGGTACAGATCTTCGTTGTCGTTGTCGTTGTTTTTGATGTTATTGATCGATGGCCGACGTTTCGGTGACTTCGCCTTCCTCAGAGCCTGGACATATTTTATGTTAGAATACTTTTTATTATTCGGTGGAAAAGAAGGTTCATGAACCGGAAGGACGAATGCCTCACTATCACGCGTGACCTGACGCCCTATTTCAAAATGATATTTTGACCCCGGGGCGTGTCTTGTTCGCGACTCCACGTGAGCTACGTGTGGGCCAGCCCCGCACGTAACATCACGGTGAGTGGCCTTTCTGTTCAATATGGCGTCTATTTGAAAGTTTGATCTTCATTAATACTTTAACCTTCTTTTCCACCGAATAATAAAAAGTATTCTAACATAAAGTACGTCCAGGCTCTGAGAAAGGCGAAGTCGCCGAAACGTCAGCCATCGATCAATAACATCAAAAACAACTAAGATCTGTACCAACCTCGCGTCAGCTTAAGAAGATCAGTTTGTAAGATCACATAAATAAATATATCAACTATCTATGCCGAGGTTTAAATAAAATCGGTCTTTCGAGTTATTAACGTTCTACTTGGACCACTTTTTTATAAAATAGACCTTCGAGGAAAAAAATGTGGTGTATTTCATATTTCAGCGGTACAACTGCATTTCAGATTCCCAAGACCGACTTTCTTTTAACCTGGGCACTGATTGATAATTCGATATTTTCTTCAATAAGCAGACACGAGGTTGCTATTGTAGAATTTATTAGGATACAACAGCTGACGCTTCGGCGGTTCGGCCTTCTTCAGAGCCTGGAAAGGTTAAATTGAGATGCGATCTGCTCAGCCAAACACTTTCATAACCCCAGGAGATAAAACTTAACAGATAAATTTGTATTCGCATAAGGAACAGCTTCATTCAGACACCTACCGTTTATTTGTTGTAAGCATTTAAGTTGGTTGATGGATAGCAGCCGCACAGAGTAATACATGGGCGATAACTGTGTCTGTGTCAGGTCATTGGATTAGCCTGAGGTATGGCGCTAGGCCACGCGTGATGACATGACACTACTCTTTACGGTTCATTTCTGAATTTTTGGAATTGATCCAAAACGCTTCAAGAGTTCTACGCGCTGATGTTTTCGACTCGTGCGTGAGGATAGTGACTCCTGCTTCAAAATCTTCTCCGTTGTGTTCCTGCATTCTATGCGCGCCTAGTGGAGTGTTTTGTTTTAATCTAGATTTACCGGCTAGGTGTTCATTTATGCAGACGCAGAGCGGTGTACCCGTTTCGCTAACGTATTCGTTTCGCCACGCGTTACAAGAGGTCAGATAGACTGCGCCCGAACTCATGCAGTCACCGTCTCTACCGTTAGAGCAAATTATGCAGTTTTTTGTTGTGCATAGACGGTCATATAGGTGGTTGCGAACAAACTGGCGTCCTAGAGTGTTCGATGGTATTTCTATCACTCTTACGGAATTCTCTAGACTGGTCTTTATTAAGCAACGTTTTATAGCTGCACTTATTTCGTATGAAAAGAAAGAAAAAAGAAGCCCTGTAACAAGCGATACTCTTTCTCCGCCGCTGCCTGAAACACCGAGTCGCGCCATATGCGGCCTACCGAGGGACAACCAAATAGGACTAGACATCGGAACGCGACTACTACGCGCCTCTCTTCGTTGCGAACAGGACACCATGTACGCGCAATTGAAGAAGTGCAAGTCGAAGGAATCTTATTGTGTTCAGTATTTGCAGGATTCCCTTTGGAGAGAATAGTGGGTAGGTCAATTTTGATTAGCGATTCTATTAGGTCGAATGCTAAAGCAACCTTAAGCAGAAAGTTTCAAAATTTACCTTCGCAGAAATCAGCTTCAATTAAACAAAACAAAATCGTTTACGAAAGCGCTAGCACTAAAAATGTGGTCGATAACGTGCCTGAAGAATCAAGGGTCACCGCGTTAGGAGGCATAACTCTGCCTGTTGACGTACGCTTGCTATTAGAATTGGGTCCAAGTTTCTCACCAGCGCAACCCTTTTCTAAAGAAACCTTGCGTAGGATAGCGTGCAGCCTGCACGCGCTGCAAGATCAACTCCGAAGCACCGCTAGAATTGAGACACAAAATAAAAAGGAACAACGAGAAGTAGGGGCACAATCACCAGCTCCATTTCCTCGGTTATTCTTTAGACAGCAAGACCCAAAGAACGAAGTTGTTATAAAATTTCGTATATTTTGGAGCGAAGCTCTCAAAGTCCTTAGCCACTATCGCGCGAAAAAGTTTAGTTCGAACCTTGCAGCTGCGCAAAAATCTGGCGTGCGACAGGTTCGAGAGCTAATAAAATCAAAGACTGTTAGGCTATCAGTTTGTGATAAGGGTGGAGAGTTTGCAGTAATTCCTCGCCAGTTTGATGTCGATATAAGGGAAAAACATCTTGAAGGCGCATCTCTCTATCGCGCGTCTACTGAAAAGGAATTCAGAAGTCAGAATCGAAAACTGAACAACGAATGGGTGAAAATGGCAAGCGCAGCAGGTTTAAAACCAGCAGAAATTTCGCATTTTAAGATCGAAGGGCCGACATGTCCCGTCTTATACTTACTTAACAAGACCCATAAGTTAATATCCGCTGATGATCTGGTGTCTACCGACCCCTCCGCCTTTAAAGTTAGACCCATCATTAGTTACGCAGACGGGCCTACAGATAGAATTGCTTGGTTTACAAATCTAATCCTCAACCAGTTGCTTAAGCACACACCGTCTGCGCAACGCACATCCCAAAAGCGCGTACGTTATGGAGTCGTTCGACGTTACCGCTCTTTACACTAACGTGTCGAGCAGCTTCGTAATGCAAGTCATCTGCGAGCTTCTTGAACAACACTAAGGGGCAATTAACATGTATGACTTTTCGATTCAGCAGCTTATGATCCTCCTAAAGGTCTGTTTAAGCTGCTTGATCTTCAGATGGTCCAGGAAATATTACGCACAAATTAGAGGGCTGGCAATGGGGCAGCGACTCGCACCAACCCTCGCCATTGCTCT